CACTTGATCATTTTAAGGTCAGTTTGTGGAAAACTACACAAAGCAAACAGGAAAAGAGAAGTGTGTGTCTGCATTGCCCCAGTGCAGCAAGAGCTCAGAAATACACACTACCTTTTATACAGTTAACGCTGTTCTGTGCCACAGACTTAGCTACACAACTCAAAACCTTGTGTAGTCTCAAAGGGTGAGGACAACCCTGGAAGCAGTTTGAAAGCTATGTCCTTACACTTCATGACAACAATATGAGGGAGTATGTTGGTTCCTCTCCCCTGTGTGAGACTCCTGGCAGCATTCATTTTATTTCATTTCCATTCTAGTAAAACTAGTAACATTTGGCACACAGTGTTCAAGCTAACATCTCATGCTGCAAAGGGGCAGAAAGAGCACCAAGCACCAGACTCTCTATGCTGACAGGGCATTTTGACTCCTGGAATGCTTTTTAGCAATTCCATCAAAGGAAAGTCAAGACCCTAAAACTGTGAGCAGCATGAAGTGCTGATGGGTTTGAAATTGCTTTTGGTATTGGTGTATCATAAGTGAAATGCTCATGCAAGTAACACAGGTGGTAGCGGTTACTTGCAGGATGCCAAGTTATAAAACATCTATTTTCACAAAAACAAAACCCCACCACCCAATCCACTACACCAAACAGGCAGCACAACAGAGATACTAGAGGTGCCTGGGACACTACTATTTTTAGGTTTGTTTGGTTGGGTTTTTTTCATGTTTTCTTTTAGTCAGCTTTCCAGGCTCAGAAGTCTGGCTTGGGTTGTTGCACACGTGAAAGACAGAATCTGGATTCAAGTCCCTAATTCTGATGAATCTGTAATGAAACTCAGATTTGAGTATTCCTAGCTAACTCCAGGTGTTCAGGCTGGTGTCTCTGCTCCTGCTCAAGCTTTCTTACAGAGGAGTCTGTGAAAGAAGGCTTCACCAGATGTTCTAGTCTTGTTGTTCAGGTCAAACTACAGGTGCGGTGATTTAATTCTGCTCACTGCTTGCTCCATGGATGTGCTGCTCTGCCTAGTCCCAGTACCCTCTCCTTTTTTCACTAACTTGTGGAAACACAGTTGCCTGAGATCTGTGTCTCACTTTCAAGTGCTGCTGTAATTGCAAGCTTGGAAAGTGGTGGCACGTAGTTGTTAGGTCAGATAATAATCTGCACAGTGCTTCAAATTGAGAAACAATGCTACCTGGCTTATAAAGAACTCCTCAGTTACAGAATCACAGAATTATTATTGAGGCTCTGAGATCATTACGTCCATTCTACTCTCTCTGTGTAATTCATATATATCGATTTATTTATATACTTAAACAAAATGTTTTTTAACAGTTATGATAATTTGGTTTCAAATTACTATACTGTTGGCCAAAAGAAAACAAACACTGGAAGTTTCACAAAGGCTTATATTATTTCACAGTTGGAATGGGTGCATTTTGTCTCATTTTAGTTCACGTGAATTGGTTCCACAGGATTTGTTTGGGACAGAAAATGTCCTAAACATCTGATACTACACATTTTAACAAGACAAAAAAAATTAGCTGTTTCTTTCAGTGAATTTTTTCAGGCTGTGACACTAATGAATACACTGTAAATGAATCTGACACAATAAAAAGAAAAGTATTAATACTACCATTTTGCAGGTGGGAGTGATTGCATGTTTGTTACTCCACCATCTACTGGAACCACAACCTGGACATTAGACAGCATACTAGGCACATTCATAGATTCTGGATTGTATTTATAATCCACTCGCACATCAGTAGTGCTAGCATTACATTTCCAGTAGGTTGCAAGATTCAAGGGAGTGGACTGGATGCCATTTGAAGATACCTGTATAAGAATAAACCATTGAAAGAAGCTTAATTAGAATATTCCTCTTTTGAGAGAATTATGGAATGTCGGCAAAGAATGTATCTTTAAATCCTGACAAAAAATCAAGTGAAAAATTGACTTCTGAGTTCTTAATTCTGAAGACTGTTGCAGCCTAAAGCAATTCCTGTTCTTTTAATTTTAAATTAAAATAATTACAAGAAAATATTTAAACTCCATGTGACCCACAAAGGTCCTTCCTGTTCTGGCTTTTTATAAGTCAAAACAGTTTTGTTCTAGTCTCATGTTCTGCCTCCCATCATAAGCATGCTTGTGCTAAGATGGCTCCACCCTTAGCAGCTGTGTGCCAGTTCAGCTGCCCCAAAAGCCAGCAGCAGAGGGCAATACCTGTCATTATGGGAGAGGCAGCCAGCAAAACAGTTCTCACCTATTCAAAGCATTGTTTTCCTGCTGCAGGAGGCTTGAATGTCGGTCCTGTAGCTGAGCGGGTGCTACTGCCCTGCTGAATCTCTACCACCTTCCTAGTCTACCTGAGGAACATTCCAAGTCTTGGTGCCCACAGCACAGAGACTTTTCTCTCTGCCAAGGTGTCTGCATGCCAATGCCTTATTTTTCCCTGATGGTAAAGATCTCAAATAGACACCATTATTCCACAGTACTAATTTCTGCAATCCAAAGTAATGTTTTGTTCTTTCCAACTTTCTCAGGAATTCTGTGTGCCTTACAGGCATTTTCTAGATCCAGTATGCCAAGATTTTAAACTATAGTGAGAGGATGTGGAAACTACAATGGTATTAATAACTGGACTGACAGGTTATTTTGTTCTTTGATTGAATCACAGAATGCCAGGTTGGAAGGAACTTCAAGGATCATCAAATCATTCAGAGTTCCTTAAAAAAAATTCTTAAGGTAAAACAAAATGTTTACCTGATACTTTAAAACATCCACATTGTAATAGGATGCAGATGGATTCTGCTCTGATAATTTCTTGAGGTAGACAGTTATAGCTTGCATGTTCATCCAAAAATCCTTAGTACTGGAGTCACTTTGTGACTGATCGCTACAAAGAAAAATAAAGGTAGGAGTCAGAAGGCAACACTGAGTTTTATTAGTTCAGATACCTAAAAGATAAAATTACATCTTTCCCCTTATTCACTATTTCAAGCAAGAATTTATTCTAATGCTGTATAACATATGACTGTACCATTCTAAGTATTAAAATAAATTAACTGCTTGTTGTATCTAGCAAAATTCTCCTTCCAGGTTGTGGAGTAGTGATGAACTGCATCATAAGATGGAGTTAATGCTGATTTTGGATTTTACCTTCAATAAAACACAATTTTAGGACAATTAGGTACTATGAGGAAGCATGGGAGATGGGGATGAAAGTGGTATTTGAAAAGGTATGTTACCCAATTTGGAATAAATGCTAAAATCATAGTTAGCTTTGGTTATGACATAACTTCACTAATACACTAAAATAAGAACTGTGCTTACCATACTTGCATATATTTGCAGAGAGCGTAAGCTTTCAAATTTTTTTCCATTAAATGTGATTTTCAAATTATTACAACATCTGTTTCTCAGATACGTACAGTTGCATTCGTTTTAAGTAACAATTTATTAGATGTTATATATAGTATATACTATTTTATATGTAGATAAGAAGCAAAATCCTGTTTGGGAGCTACTGGAACCTGGTGTTCTGCAGATAAAGACTATTTGCAGCTCTGGTCACAAGATTATTTTGAATAACGATGAAGCTTTTAAGGTCTGGTTCAAAACCAAAATTGACATAACTTAAGAATCAAAGGCCTCATCTGAATGTCTGTGGATACAGTGAACAACTGCATCCATCCCTAAGGAGGAGTGTGGAGTGTGCCTGCAGAGTGAAAGCTGACAATGAGCACTTGGAACACAGTAATTATGACTACAGTGGTTTGAATGTCCTAGAACAGTGACTTACGTACCAGGAATCTATCCAATCTACTTAAAGTTTGGATCTCTTGTGATTCATTAAAATTTCATTTTCAGTAAAATATATAAACACTTGCTTATCACTATAGAGATATTCCACAATTTAAATAAAGGAAAGCAGAAATAAAATCTTTCTGCTGCTGCTCCACAACAAATTCAAATCAGAAATTCTGGCAACACTGCAAATATCACTTTATAAATACCAAGCAAATTACACCCTTTGCAGTATATGATGAAAAGTCAAATTATTACTATATGGGTTTAGCTTCACAAACATTCATTTACGATTATGCATCCTTTCCAATAAATGAAACTGCTCAGCTGAAACAGATCTCTGCTGAGTAATTACAGCTTTCATATATTTTTAAAAAAGAATTCCAAGTGCTATGATTTCAACAATTATCCTGCTCAATCAGCAGCCTTTTTTCTTAAGAATTCTCCCAAGCATGTTGTTACCTATCTGAGATTTACAGTTATGTAAAAGATATGATCTATGGTAGAAATTATATGGCTTCAAAATGCACTAAGAGTGAAAAATGAGATCATGTGTAGCTCCTACTGCTTGCTTTCTATTTGACACTCATGTTTCATCATTTGTTATTACTGAATAAAGAAATAATTTATAAATGCATGTAAAAACACAGCTACATTTACTAATTTTTATGTCTCATGTTACATTCAGCATGTTTTGAGTCCAGTAACCACTGAGATTTTAACAGTGGCAGTGAAGAGAACTGAGCTGAACAAGATTATTTTGAGAAATTAAATTAGGTGTAAGCAAATCAACAAGACTGCAGTGAATTCTCATTTACATATACACATACAACACTCATATTTTACAAATAATGCAGTTTACTATTATATATTTTTAAAAAATACAAAACCTGTATACAAGTTGTGCATTTGGAAGAATCTGCTCCAGTTTGCTTGTGTTTTTTACCCTAAAGCAGAGCACAGCTGGAGATGGGTTGCTGGTGAAGACTTTAATAATCCCACTTGGGAATGACACTGTCATATCACCAGTAATCTTCACAATACATCTAGAAGAGAATGAAAAACATAAGTCCATTGCAACTTGTTAACTACCTAGTTTTAATACTAATTTTAAAGCAATGACTGTACTTTCATAATCTGATCAATGGAATTAAAAACAGAAAATTGATGTTGAATGAGGTTAATGTGACAATGAACCGTCACTTTCAATTTGGAAGTCAGGTGAAATAAGAAAAAAGTTTAAGCTTGTTAAGCATACAGTAGTATTGGTGGATATTTTTCAGACTGGAAATATGGCACAACTATGCTTAGGCAAGGCCTAAGTAGCATAGCATAGGATACAACAGAGGGAATGAGGTGCTTTAGCTTCTCAAATTTACATGTAGCACCTATCTGACTATGATAAAAACCCTTCTCTTTTTCAGTGCTCACACTTAACACCTTTTTGTAAAGCAGGGATATATGAACTTCCATAGGATGCAACCCAATAGAGAGCAATAAGCCACTGTCGTCACTTATAGCAGGGAAGAACATCCTTTGAATCCCCCTTGTAATGCATAAACATATTCACCCAGAATATTAAAAGTAAAACCAGCATTTTTTGTTATTGTAATTTATTACATTCAAAACAATTCACTATTTAACTAACTTCATGGGATCTGCTCCTTTAAAGTAGGCGTTAACAGATTCAGTTAGGGCTACTGCAACAGGCAAGGTGTCCTGGTTTCCGAGGCTGACAGGGCTGGGACCACGTGAAACACCTAGAATACATACAGTGTATATGTTTAATTCTCAAAAAGCTTAGTAGTAGATTTCAGAACGGTTGATTACATCTGTAATTTTCACAAGAGGTGAATACCATCAAGGTAACAGTAGTGTCTGAACATACCATCAAAAAGCACTGCTTAGCAGCCTAAGAAAACAGGACTATCAGTCTGACATGTAAATGGGCAAACACAAGGAAATACGTATGATACAGAGGAACACTGCATTAAAATGTCATCTGATGAAAGTGAAGTCAACAGATCCAAAGGAAATTAGACACTGGCTAGAATACTAAAAAAGCCACAAATATAATCTCTACTGTATGCTTTAAATGGTCACAGGAAATGCAAAAAATTCACTTACAGCATGCATGAACTTCAAACTAAATACATTATTATGATCCTACATAAGTGAACTGTTTAACATTCTTTTAATTATTTCAGCCAACAATTTGCCAAATATTTCCTAGGCAGAAACTACTGGAGAAGCCTTCAGAGATGCCTGTGCCAACACAACACAGTTCCAATGCATAGCTATAAAAATAAACTCAGACCTCATGCTATGGCTTTTTTAAACATGTCTGTACAATTGATGAGATCAGTTGTCACTGGAATTTACTCTTAAACAATTTTTTTCATGTGTATTAACTATAAAAGAAAAAACTGGAAGTATTGCAGTATCTTACTGATTTTTTGTACCACTGCTGGAATGGCCTTTATCACATAATATTACTTATTACAAAGGAAGTAAAATCTTTCTCATTTCATGAGCAAAATGAGAATTTTTTCTTTCATACCTTAAAGTTGAAACAGAATGCTTCTTTATAGTATTGCTCATAGCAAACTAATCCTATTTACTCTAAAACAGTGGCTGTACCTTCTGAACTCTTTCAGAAGCAAAAAGGAAGTTGGAATCTTGTTTTCACAGGAAGCCTAATATCACATATCTTCAATTCAGAGATAAGTGAAAGGCGTAGTAACAATAAGTGAGTAGAAGACGGGATTTGGTCTAATTCTGCTACTTCATACATCACCCGCCATCATGATTTCTTCCCTAAGGCAGTAAAATGTTCAGAATACTTCTCAGCACCACAGAAAAAAATCTTAGTGCAACATTTAGGCCTCCTTAGATAGAAGATGATACTCTAGTTACAAGTGCTTAAAACAAAAAAATTCTTAGATTAATGAAATTATAATATCGGCTACAAAACATCGCTTGATTTATTTTTTCAATATGAACAGTAGGTTGGTTTTATATATTCTTTCAAGACAATACACAGTATTGTTTCCAAAGTTTTATTTCTCTCTCTGAAAACTACCAATAAAAGCTGTAAATCTCAATAGTCTCAGGAATCCAGAAATCATTATTTCCAAGCACCAAATGTGCAATAAAATAGTGAGTTAAGAACAACCAGAAGTCATTTTTGGTGAAATACTGAGCTCCAGAAGTATCCTCCGCTAAAGCCAAAATATGCACGCAATATATATGGCACTATGACTGCCAAAGTAATTTACTGTCCTCTTCCCCCAGCTTACTAAGAAACAAAAAACAACTGCAGGGCTGATAGGAGGTGATTACCTTCTATTAATCACACCAGATTGTTTACAGATGTATACATTACTTTAAAATATTTTACTTCTAGTGGTCTTGTGCATTTTTTTGTATTGATATTTGAAATAATGAAAAGTAATGCAAATATATAAATTATATTCCTATCGGTAAAAGCCAAATACTGATTTCTTGACTGAGGAGTGAAATGCATTAGGAACAACACTATTTTTACTTTTTTTGGGGGGAACAGTAGAACAAATATATACATACGTATGTATATACATGTCTCTGAGATGTATTGGAGTGACTACAAATGAGACAGTGTCTTTATTTGTTCTGCCCCCACTGTTAATCACCCTGTCATTAATAAAAATCTGTCTTCTCCTAAAACAAATAAACTGAGACTAACATAACTGGGTATCCTATGGAAGTCATGGTTTTGTTGCCTGGCTGCTGAAAATACAATGCAGTGCAATGACACACAGACTCAGGGTCTTCCATGCCTGCTGGCAGCTCCCACAGGGATGGGACATCACAGAGCTGCACCAACGGAGCTTCACTGCTTCCTAGGATGCATCCAGCTCAAGACTTCAGTTCTAGCAATTTCAGCAGTGACAGCTGAATCAGTGTTCATGCTCTGCCACCTGCCTCATCCTTGACCACCATTAACAACCCTTGAGCTGTGCTGACACAACCATGCAAATAGTTGCACTGACACACCCAAGGAGGTTGCCAAACTGCAGAAGAAAAGACTGCACCATTGGTCATAAACAGGGCAAATAAATAAACCTGATCAAATGGGTTTAGTTTAGTTTGGTTTAGGAACAAACTTTCAGACAGTTTCAATATTAGCTAAACAGCTGTCATGAAAGTAAAACTTATTTTTAAATATATTACCTCATTTTTTGTATCTTCAAAGATTTGTATTATATGTAGATATCAAAACATTTTTACCTGCTGATCTGAGGAGAATGAGGATTGTCAAAGTAAAAATGTATTCACTTGAAATAAAGCAGTAACCAGAAACCCATGAAACAAACCCAAGTTTCAGCTTGTTTGGGTGGGGCAGGGGGGACAGACAGGAGATTACATTAAAAAGAAATGGTTATATCAAGTTTTGGTGATTTTAGCAACATATAGCTTGTTCAGTAATTGAGCTTTCAGGCTACTTGTATCTGCCAGATACCAGACATAGCTAGAGAAACTTATTTAAGGAGAAATACAATTTTATTAGGTGTAGTGTATTAGGATGATTAGTTAACATGTAAATCTGCTTTGAGTACTATACCTGGTGGTGGTTCACAAAGCTTTTCAATTGTAGGAAGATTTCCGATCAAATGATCATCCTCTATTATATTTAAACAAAACATTGCAAGAAAACAAAATATTTCAAGCAAAAATAGATGTTAAAAAAGAAATAAAAATACTTTACAAAATAAAATAAGGCTAAAGCATAAAAGAAACTTTAATTATGCATGCCTTAAAATTCAGTTTGAAAAATATAGAGTCAGCTCTCCATCATTCAGAACAAATGTGGTAAGGGAAGCACTGGATTGTGCAAAAGTAAAAAGAATACAGACAGCAGTGTAGAGTCTATCCTCATGCCCCAGTGTCATTCAGCCATCTGAACTGTTCTTCCCAGCTCCCCAGGACTAATTAATTCCTACAGTCAGTACAGATGGAACTGGCTTTGGTGTCAGCACACACCTCCTTACCTTGTCCTTCACCTCATGATTTCACTCTTACTGTCTCAAGCAACACACACACTCAGAGCTGGGGCTATTGATGCTGCTGCCAGCTTTTGGTTCCTGCGTACTAGTGCTGAGGCCTGAGGATGTGAGCCTGGATGGACTTTGGCAACCAAAATAACACTTGTCTCTCTGTGATGCTACTCAACATTTGGGAAACTGGTGGATACTGAGCTTCAGCAGCTAATGCTGAGTCTGGCATAGGGTGGAAACAGCAGCACTGCTTTCAGTGCAGAACTCTTGCTAGAAGCTGTGCAGATGCTCCCCTTAGCTGATGAGCCTGGAATCCCTGGCATCCTTAGATAATTAATAATCTGATTTAACTTGAGACTAAGGTGGTAGTAGAGTCCAGGAATGAAATACTTCAATTCTGCTAAAGAAAAAAGTTAAAATGTCTTTAAAAAAAAACACAAAACAACCCAAAAACCCCCATGTAAGTCTCCTTTTCATTTGTTTCAGGCAAATGTAAAAACCAAAGAACCTTCTTTTAAAAATATAAGAAAAACTTTTCAAATTAGTAGCAATACATGAAGGCTAATTTGGTTTTCATCTTCATATTCTTGATTGTTTTGCTTTTACTAAAGACTTCAATTTAGCTCATGTACTTCACTAACTTAAAGAAAAAGATGCGTTAGTTTAATTATTTTGGAAACTGCAATTACAGGACAGCAAACAAAATAAAAGAACATGATAATATTCAATGTTGTGTACATTTAAATAAATTCAAATTGATCAGTATCCCAAAATATTTCTGCACTTATACAGTAACATCTTCTGAACAAATACTTGATTACATGATATGTTTGATGTATGTATATACATACATAGCAAGAAAGAATTGATGGAATAATAATTTTGAAAAGTATTTCCTAAAAGAATATACCATAATTTGAACTGTGGTCTAACATAATTAAATCCACTTTCCTGTTTCTCAATGTCATTTCGAAACAGGTATTACAAAGCATGTTTGAAGTACCTAGACTGGACTCATGGAGCAACTAACTCCAACTAATGGTTCTCCTAACAGGCAGAACCTAGTGACAGGAGCATGCAATTTCTAAAATAAGTTAAAATGCTTAATTTAACTTACCAACTGTAGGTGTGTTTGCTGCACTGAGGGAAGCAGAAGAGGATATTGAGGAAATGCTCTCTGCACGTGCCAAGGGTGCTGCAGGAGGTGGACTGGAGTTAGAGGTCAGCGGAGGGCTGAATGGCCTAGGCTGAACAAAAGAGATTAAAAGAGTATTACACAGAGTGGTTTTAAAGAAATGGAAAAAAAAGAGTTTTTCATTTATGTCTCAGTAAATTTGAGTATATCTCAACATAGTTCCTTCACTGCTTTATCTACTCTACTTTGTATTGTAAAACAGAGAACCCATATCTTCCTCTGGAATAAATTCCATTATTTCATAGATTAGAACTATTAATTTTTTACCTGGGTAGTTAAGTCTAATATATTTAATTATGTAGCCTGTCAATAGTTTGCTGTAACACAGTAGCAGAACATCAGCCTACAGCCCTGTGTAGGATGTGGAATAACAGGGCTAAAGGAGAGCTGCTATTAAAATGGAAGTGAGTCCAGCAGAGGGCAACTAAAACAGTTGGGACTGGAGTACTGGAGAGAGGGACAGGCTGAAGAAGTACCTGGTTTTCTTCAGCCTGAAGAACAGAAGCCTGAACGAGCCACCTACTAGAAGGCTTTTACTAACTAAAAGAAGATACAAAGAAGCAGAGTCAGGATATTCTCAGAGATGCAAGAGCTACAGTAAAGGAAATTTCAGCTGAATTTTGGAAAAAAAAAATAATAAAATCTTTCTTGTAACCTCATGGTCAAAACCTGAGACAGGTTGCCCAAAGAGACTCTGAGATGTGCCTATGTGAAGATTTTCAAAAGTCAGCCTATCTCTAAGCAACCTGATGCGATTCTGAAGTTGGTCCTTCTTTGAGCAGGAGGTTGGCCTACAGATCTTCAAAAATTTCTTCAATCTTAAATCTCTGGATGGCTTTATGAATCCCTTATCTGTTAAGTTACTTAATTGATTGATGATAATTTTGGAATTAACCTATCCAAAATGTACTGGAGCAAATGAAGCATCTGTTTTGTCTGACTAACTGTCTAGCTTTTTCATTTTGGTTCTATCACACTTGTCACTGAGTATGTGGCTTTTATACAGACTATATGAATCCTAAAATGAGTTGATGTATATTGAGAACAACTGTCAGTCTCCCACGTGCAGAAATCATACTTTGTGATGCAGAACAGCACCAACAAAATTCTTCTTTTGAATTATTTTGACATTAAGAACAGATCCTTCAGTCTAAGACCAAATACTACAACTTTATATTGGGACAAGAAAAGAATTTCAAAACAAAGCCTATTCTGACCTTACAGAAATACAGAAGTTTAAAAATATTTCAGTTTTGTCAAAGCACAGGACTAGAATTTTTTGTCTAAAAAGAATATGGTGAAAAGAAGATCTTACCATGGTTACATTTTTTCCAAGTCAGTAAGTCAAATGAAACTCAAAGAATCCTAATATTCACAGAGATTAAGCATGGCTTGCTCTGCTGTGCTGTCTGGGTATTTACATTCTTTGCCACATTCCTTATCGGCAGGTGGACCTGCACTGCAGGCAGTGAGCAAAGACCAGGCACTGTGCAACCTCTTGCTATCTTGACAGACAGCTGCTGCAATCTGCCACCTCCCTTCTCCACCAACCAGCACCAAGGGCAGGGAGAAGTCACAACAGGGCTACTTGTGTCAACACATGGCTGATAAGGATCAACTTAATACCATTCATTCCCCAAAGCTTTGGTGATATTCCTAAATCAATGGAGCTTTGTTAATAACTTCACTAGTAATTCACATTTTGAAAACTTCCATCTCATACACATGCTACCCTTTAATTATCAAATTATTTATTTGTTCAATTAAAAACATTCACCCAATGCAAAAATTATGTTTTCGACCATTGTAGTTTTACTAAGATTTATTTGGTTACATTGATATTGTTATCAGGAACAATTTCCATGCCTATCTGGCAACAGTGAAAACTGTATATGTGACTCCCTGAACATTGGCTGGCAAGTATCCCCACTTTAACAGTGTAAATTAATGATATATCTGAAATCAAGTTAAAATGGAGAATTAAAAAAAATATAAATCAATACATACTATTTCATTAATCCCACTAAGTTTCCCAGTAGACAGCTTTGGTCTTGAAGCAGGCCTTGGAGGGGGTACAATGGTGCCTACAGAAAGAGGAGTTGTGGGCCTTGCTGAAAGAAAGCAAATTTAAGAACAGAAATATTACCAAAGTCACACTGAACATAAACATGTACTTTCTTTAGTAGAATACTTGGAAGTTATGTTTCGATGAAAAGTTCCTATTTTACAAGTTTAATTTTGTAAGATGCACCACTAATCATAAATGCATTTAAAATAGAGTGATGTGATACCCTGAAAAGTGACTCTAAAAATGGCATCATGGGCTTCCTCATTTCTCTCAAATGTGTTTATACTAGTTATTCTTGGAGGTTTGCTCATAAAAAAAATGGTTTTACCAGAGTTTCCTTTTGTGTATAAACTGTATAGATTCAGAAAATAGCACAGTCTTTTGTGTCTTACCACAAATGGAAAATTCAGCAGAAATTAATATTTGGTTCTGGTTGACAATGGCACAACTCTGTTTACAACAAATTTTGCCCTCTGAAATCCCATCTACTTCAATAAGTATACACCAGTATAACAGATAAATGACACTTGATTGTAAGAGCACGTCAACTCCTTATTATATTTTAGCTGAACCTAATACAGCCCTCCTGTTCTTCCAAACTTAACACAAACAACTAAGAGATGGTGGCAGCAGAACTAAGATGCCACTTTTACAAAGTCACTTTTCTGAACGTAACAAATAGAACTCTGTTTCAAAATAAATGTTAGATGCCAATGAGTATGCCAGATCTAAAATTGACTTCAAAACAGACTGAAATCCTAATATTTGATTATGTTGTTCCAGCACATCCTATTATCTTCTTCAAATTATTCCTGATGGCTCTTTTTTATTTAAATCAGTTTATATTATTTAAAATGCAACTTTTAAGTATGCAGTCTTCTCAGGCATTCAGCATAACTCTGCTGTTTAAGTACATGAGTATCATCACTGACTTGGGAAGAAAGAAGTTAGGCTAATACCAATTACATGCACCTTAAGAGTTGCAAAATCAAATGCCCCCAGATAAATTAATTTCTAAAATACCCGTAATTCTTCTAAAATTCTTAGTATGCCGCAAGAAAACAATGCATGCTAAAAACAGAGTAGTCTGCTGCAGTACCACAGGTATTCAGTGAGTCATGTTATACTTGCCCAAATGCGCTTTTATTTTTGCTTTTAGTATGTAGCATTACCATGATATTTATCCATACTTTAAAACATTGTGTGTTAAGAAGGAACAGTTTTAAATAAAATTATTTAACTTTACTTAATCTGAAAATATCTATACAAAGTCATTTGGGAATAGAAGTCTTTTTGCAAATGCAGTAACTTAATCTTCAAGAGCTCACTACTCTAAAATTCTTTTCATTCTTCTAATTTCAAGCTGAATATTTACTTGTCTTAACTTCCAAGGAAATTGGTGCCATCAGGCAGTTTAGTACATTCTAAGTAAGAAGGTGAGTTAAATTTAACATCAGTTGAATGATAATAACAAAAAGAAAAATGAGTCCAAAGCTTGATTTTTAGAGTAAGTTATTAACAAAGAGCAATACACAATGCATGCTTGCCATACCCTTATTTGTATGAGCACAAGAAGACACTAAGCTATATTCCAGTAGGGTTGAAGATGACGCGGAAGAAGTTTCAGCAGCATTGCCAGTTTCTTCAATGAATAATTGTTCATGACATATAGTATTATTGAAAAGGTCACTTTGATCCTCAGAAGCACAGCTGTTGGAAGAATTCCCAAGCAAAGCAGAAGAGGCAAGGCAGGAATTTTCACTTTTAAAATGCAATCTCTGGGGCTCCTTCTTGTTTGCACTTGTGTGTCTAACTGTAAGAAGTTCATCAGCAAAGGAAATCCACTGACTCTGAGACTGTGAAACACAGGATAAAGGACTGGTGCTCCCTGATGGAGCTTCTGTAACACTAGATTTGCACAAAGTGCTAATGATAAAGTCTGGTGAGGATGGGCTTGTAGACCCAGAATCTGTCTGGTGTCCAAGCAAAGACTGAGATACTCTATACCTCGGCAAATCAGTAGTAGATGAGGAGGAGCTCCTATTGTGCTCTTTCAGTGTAGCTGAAGGAAAAGGGAAGAATTGAAACTAAGACCAACACTGAAAAGACAAATATTTCAATATTAAAAAGTATATTAAATATCCACTGCAGGAGGGTTACTAACCAGCATGAAAAACAACTTCTCTCCTCAGCTAACAGTATCACCACTTACCAGTAAAAGAAAAACACAAACCAGCCACATATTACATGTACTCCATTCATACAGCCAGTCATGGCATGTCTAGTAAGCCAAAAATAATGTGTTCCTCTCCACTTAAGGCCTACTTCTTATGATTTTCCTTTACTTCCTATCATGGTTTAACTTCCTCATATCTTTGTCTTTCCTTTTGTGAGTCTTACCCCATTTTTGTTTCCTCTCCACAGATTTCTATTTTGAATTTATTTAATCAGACCAATCCTATCCTGTTCCTTCCAAACATTTTGATGTTCTTATCCTTTTGTAATGGAAAGGTCCAACATAAAGTGCTGTTCAGTGAATGAATGAAGACTGAAGTAATGAGATCCTGTTAGATACTCTTCTGTCTGTATCAACCTGTATCTAGTGAGTAACTGTGTATAAGGCATCACATCATCTAACCCAGTAGATTTCCTCTTTCATCCTATAGTAATCAGGCTGCTGGGAAACAGGAGTTTTCCACAAATATTGCCTGCATTTGGTGGCTGCTCTTTGGAGTAAATGACAATAGAAGCAGAAAATGCAAGGTTAGTAAACTCTCAACATCTTGTACATTGCAAAGCTAGAAGCAACAGCAGAGTGACATACAGAACAAAACCCAAGAACAACACATTTAAAAGTTTAGATGTAAAGTAGACGTGTCCCCTCTATGATGGTCCTTTTGCCAAAGACAAGTACATTCTCTAAGCCTACATAAACAAGAGTTTTGCATGTTTATGTAGGCTTAGCTTTACCATTCTGACACATATATTTTGCATAACATTCACAGGCTTTAAAATATTATTATAAATCCTATGCAAAAACCAATGTGGAAAATTTAAAAACTATTTTAAAAATACATATGGATGCAAATGAGGAAGAGAAATGAAAATAAGCATTCTTACAATATCAATAGCTGGCTAAAAAATGTCTGTTGTGTTTGTTCAAGATAACAAAGTCATCTTAAATGTCTAATAAAGCAAAATTATTCATGGATGACCAAAGTTTACTTCTGTGCTGCATAAACCACTTATTTACACCACGATTGCTCAAGTACCATAGTAATTTAAGTGTCTAATGATTAATACAGAGTTATGAAACAATAGCTAAAGAAATTTTTTAACAGTAAAAAGAAAAAAGGTAGTATGGGACATGATACATCATGATACGAAGATATGCTGTATGAAATCCAACTAATTATGTAACTTAAATTTTTGATTAAGATTTTCAAAAGCTTTAAGCATTAGCTTACCTATATTAACCTTCAAGTTGAAGAAAAAAAAACTGATTTAAAGAAAAATACAATTAGATCAAAGTAGCAAGAAGTCTTTAGAATGAAGCTGCAGGTTAGTGAGCATCAGAACTTGATTTAAAAAACACTATGACCTACAAGTTGGACTACATTGATCCACATTTTTTTTTTTTTTTTTAATTATTAATTTGTTATACTTTTGAACACTCATTTTCTACTTAACTCCATGGATCATTTAAAAAATGTAAATATTTTAATTAACTCCTAGAACAACAGTCCTTTAAACACCTTTAAACAATTACCTGGCAGATACAGTTTGCCAAATCACAGACATATTTAAAATTGATTTATGCCCTCAGGACACTATATTCCACCAATTTCAATGAAATGCAGGGCTCTGTGCATAAGCTTCTTTTGGTTATGAGGGCTCAGGTAGATTACTACCCTCCAGATATGGCTACAGAGGATCTTACGGATTCCAAATACCTGTCGCTACTCATCAACTCTCTCCCCAGTTCTGCTGCCAGAAGGGAGCGTGAACATTTCCTAACCTGCTTTGGCTGCTCATCCAGGTGTAGTAATAAACAACTGGATAAAACAAGAACCACCAGCACAACAAATCAAATATTTTCTGCCTTCCTCTACACACTCCCAACCCCAGACCAAAGCTAGCAAAACAGACTATTTCGAGAAAGCACCACTTCTTTTCAGCATATTCCAGCAATACATATCTATATATAATTTATCCTTAACTATGTTAAAAATTTGGATTCACTAGCCAATAATGTTGCCTGGTTACCTAAGTGAGGAAGAAACAATCTAATTCTTTCCATAAGCTAGATTTGTTAAAAACCTTCCTTTTAAAGAACACAAATTTGTAGGAAAAGAGTAAGTTCCACGAAAAACCTGAGGGGTTACATAGCAATGCTGGTTGCTGCTAAGAGGACACTACTAAGGGCAAGAATTAACACTTGTTCTGCTGAATTCTGCTGTTGTGCTGAATTTCCCTGTTGTACCCTTCCTTACTGTTCTATCATCAAGCACACAAAACATCTAGGAAGCTATGACTGGGAAAAAAGAAGTGAGGTCTATTACAATCTTTGGAATATGAACACCTAGCTAAAAGAAACAGTTTACACTTCCTTTTTCAGGCATATGGAAGAAGTGTCTTTACATTAAGACAGAAGAGGTTGGAAAACACAGTAGGAAGACTAAAAAGAACTACGGAAACGGCATATCTGCCAATGTCAGCAAACAGTAGATAATCAATGCAAATACTAAATCATTTAAATAAATACATTTAGTAAGCAGGTCCCAATAGCCATATTATCTGTTTTTGTTTTGGACTCTCCTTCCTTTTTCTGAACTAGTTTCTTAACATCTCCTCTCAGCCTCTTCAACACACATACTCACTCATTTTATTATTTACTTTGCCTCCCTCTCCTTCACTGCCTTTTCAATTTAACAATCAAGACTGACTCTTTCATTTCGTCAAAGACCAGGTTTCAGGAAAGCCTGCCAGTGTCCTGCCCACACTAATATGCTGCAGATCGTGCATCCCAAAATTCTCATGCATCACCTGCCCATACTCCTCAGCTTACCCTTTCCCTCCAAATGCCCCTGCTCTCAGGTGGCTCCAGGAAGTCCCCCTTAATTCTAATCTCAGTTAGAGATCCTGCCATTTTTATCCAGTTCCCTGTGGATTATGGCTGCACATCTCCTATTAGAATCCTAGTTTCCTACAGGAAAAAATTTCCTCACAGCAAAGCTCCAAGGTGCCTTTTTAATACACAGATCAACAGGCTTTCATGGAATGAAGAAACTGATCCCTATTCAGAGTGCAAGCTCATTTTGTCTCACCGATGCTGGGACAACAACATCCAATCTCCCAGGCCTAGCAGCTGAAAAAATAGGATTATATTCCAGATAGTGATAATTCTTTTGAAAAGTGTGACAAGGTGATAAAAAAAGGCAGAAGCAAGACAGAATTCTCCTAAGGTTTCTAGTGTTCCCCCTTCCCCTTGCTCCCTAGCTTGAAAGCCTGGCATATGGCACCCTCAGTTGGGTATTACTTATAAGACATTATACTGCTTTACAAAAGTCTTCCAATAGTAAAAGCACATCACCTTGCAATAACTAAAAAAAACCCCAACAACAACAGAACATCCTGAAGAATACAGAGAACCCATTTTCTACTATCAGATATTTTACCTGAGGAGGATGAGGATGCCAAGGAAGCTGAAGAAGAAGATTCAAGAGAACTGTTGAAGAGTGGATCCCATGCCAGGAGGTCACTGTTCCCCTTTCTATATTAAAAGTCAGAATTGGAATATAAAAAAAAGACACATATATTCATAAAAATCAAACTACAACTTCAGTAGTAGTTTGATAATATAAAAATATGATACATAAATACAATACATTAATCTTGTTAGTCTTTGCATCAAAAAATTAAAAAAACCTACAAATTGGAGGTCAAGGAACTGATTTACACATGAGGCTATCTGAACTGACACTTTGATACAAGTTCATGTGTGGATATACTCAATAATGTCAGTTGAATGGTTTTCATTTAAGGAGGGATACATCTTCAAATCCATTTTTTTCAGTATATCCATATATAAGCATCGTATACAGACCTGTCTAACTCTGGGGCTTGTACTCCTAAATCCTTTACCATGACACACTGTAGGATAGAAACTAAACCTGTCTTATTTAAAACCTGAGATTTTAATAAAACCCAATATTTTGTAATCATGTAATATAAATAACAACTGAGACAGATCACAATGAAGCAAACGCATTACAAGGGGAAAACAAATTAATGGAATTCTCCATTGTTGCATAATTGCCCCTTAATTGTTATGATGCAATAGATGCCCACCTTAAAATAGCAGTTGGTATTTGCAATGCATTTCTGGGTATTAGATAAAAATAAGTCCAAATTACCACAAACTGAATTTGATAGAATTCTAAATTTTAACTTACTCATTAGTTGGAGCAGAAAGCTTTGATTTTGCTAGCTCTTCACCTAAGCAAAAGACACAGTATTATCACCAGAGCTGTGGCTGTCTAAAATAAAAATTTCAGCTTCATTATAAAAAGACAGAAAATCTTAACTTCTTGTTGTAGTTCAAGAAGAATTGAGAATTACTAACATGCAAAAGAGAAGATGCAGTATTATATACATTCAGATACTCCTGAAATACCTTCTAAGAGGAGAGCACTGCATTTTGGGAGGAAGTGTCATTCACTTGAAATATATTCCTTAAATTGCACTATTTACACCAGTATTATTCTTCAGCAAATCTGACTCAGTTCCCACTGAAACAAAAACCCTACCAGATAGAGGCTAATGCTGTGTCCTCTATCTCCATGGCCACATTTTATGTGTTTGACTCTAAAACAGGTAAAAATTGCTTTGTTGGTTTGTGGATCCTATTCAACTTGAGTAGGTGGAAGGGCTTTAAGAAGTTCCACAGGAGTCTTTTACATAGGATTCCCCCATTGGCTCTTGGATATTTTCCTCATCACTGTCAGAGACAGCTTCATTTACTATCCCAGAACGGGGAACAGCCAAGTATATAGGAAAAAAATAAGGTATCTAAAACTAACAAGAGAAATATATTTTTCTATTTAAAATAAAGATACTCAAGGAATTTATTTATTCAACAATTACAAAAAATAATAATATTTTTCATTCCATGTTAGAAAACTAACATAAATAGACAAAAAACTGAAGATTCACACTTACTGGATGAATTTCGATTCGTTTGTGCCTGAAATGGGGAAAAAAGGTTAGGAATAAATTCTTACTATCTGTCAAATAAAACACTTAATAGTCCCAGAGTTCTTATTTCCACTCAATTTTCTATGAGATACTTTGCTTTCAGTGCCAGATAAAACATTCTGAGCTTGCAGAAGACCAGAACATGAGCAAGGACACAGCAACCAGTGCCCACCTGCCACATCAGAAAGAAAAGGGAGGAACAAACACTGTAGAGCTGACAAAGGGAGCTTTATTACTAAATCCCTTTACAGACTGGGGAAGTAAAATTAAACTGCTTATGTATCACATGGTATATATGGAAACAAACATTCCTGAGGTTTTCCCAATAACTCCTCTCACATACTACACTCACTTGGTTTTAATCTAAACATGGGAATTAAAAGCCATTCTGTACTTACAGGACTGTGTCTCTGCTTTCAAAATGTGAAGGGGGGTGCGGGGGAAAAGAGAAAAATAATCATTATAATTTTAAGATGTTATGTGCAATGTTTTCCTTAAAATCAAAGTCATTCTTACTCTGGTCTAATATTGTACTAGTGAACTTTAATACTATTTATTTGTAATATCACCTCATGGTATAAAGGATAATTTTATGGATTGCAGAATACATTAGTAAAGCTACACTGTAAATGTTACATGTATCCACATTATATGATCTACTTTAAAGGTTTGTGTTGTTATTGAATACTAATTAGTAAAATGTGTTAAAAACCATGCTCCACTAACTCCAAACTGTATTGAAATGTTTTGTGGTGGCAACATCAGAAAGACAAGGACTGAGCACTCCCAAGACTCAAAGGAAAGTTAAAATCTGAGAAGAGAGAATTACTTAATGTTACAGTGCAATGAAGTGTACCGAAGATGACCCTAGGTACACAAGAGAAAAAGAATCATTGAACTTGAAACTAGAATAAATTCTGAACAACAAAATATATGTTTACACAGAAGATTCTTTACTGCTTTTCTCTTACTACACATTAAAAATAAAAGGAACAAAGTAACTTACAGATATTGCTGGAGAAAGAGTGATGTTTCCTATAGATACTTTTAGTTCATCCAAGGAAGGCATGTTATATTGAGAGCTATTATTTGGCTGGACAGGTTTAATTTCTACGTGGAACCTCCTGGGTTCATCATCTTCAGAGTCAGAATCACTGGATGAATAGAAATGGTTCTCTTTGGTATGTTTTTGTCAGTTAAGGTGGAAATTAATCTGCTTAACTTATGTTATAATTATGCTCTACAAAATGCTCATATTAAGTGAATGCCATAGATAAACAATGCTGCCTGACCTCTTTGTGCACTTACACAGACACTTCAAATATATTCACTGTCAAAAATTCACAGCACAGAGTTAAAATTTAGTTTTTATATTCCATTAACCTTCATAGCAGTATTTTGTTGTCAAAAGCACAATGTCACTGGATATTGTCTATCTGGACCTCCCAGAAGCATTTGATACGATTCCCCATAGAACTCTCATGAAAAACTGGCTGCTCATGGCCTGGATGACCACACAATCTGTTGGATCAAGCACTGGCTGGACAGTCGGGCCCAGAGAGTGGTGGTCAATGGAGTCAAACCCAGCTGGGGCCAGTCACAAGTGGTGTCCTCAGGGCTCAGAGTTGGGACTGTTTCTGTTTAACATCTTTACTGATTATCTTGATAAAGACATAGAGCGTATTATCAGTAAGTTTGCAGATGACACCAAGCTAGGCAGGAATGTTGATCTGCATGAGGTCAGGGAGGCTCTACAGAGAGACTTGGATAGATTGGATCATTGGGCTAACGTTAATGGTCTGGGCTTCAACAAGGCCAAGTGCTGGGTCCTGTACTTGGGCCACAACAACCCCAGGCAAGACTACAGGCTTGGGGAAGTGTGGCTGGAAAGTGTCTGGCAGAAAAGGACCTGGGGGTTCTCATTGACAAGTGGTTGAATATGAGCCAACAATGTGCCCAGGTGGCCAAGAAAGCCAATGGCACCCTAGCTTGTCTTAGAAATAGTGTGACAAGCAGAAGTAGGGAGGTGATTGTCCCCCTGTACTCAGCACTGGTGAGGCCACACTGGGAGTGTTGTGTCCAGTTTTGGGCACCTCCATTCAAGAGAGATATCGAGGTGTTGGAGCGAGTACAGAGGAGGGCAACGAAGCTGGTGAAGGGCCAAGGGAATAAATCTTATGAAGAATGCTTGAAGGAGCTGGGAATGTTTAGTTTGAGGAAGAGGAGGCTGAGGGGAGACCTCAACAGTCTCTACAACTACCTAACAGATTGTTGCTGGTCTCTTCCCACAGGTAATTAGAGACAGAACAAGAGGGAGTGGTTTCAAGCTGCCAACAGGGGAGGTTTAGATGGCACATCAGGAAAAATGTCTTCTCAAAGAAAATGCTTAATCACTGGAATAGGCTGCCCAGTGAGGTGGTTGAGTCACCATCCCTGGATGTGTTTAAGAGATAACACAAACTGCTTTTACTGGTATAGGAATCTTCAGTGGGGGCAAAGCTGATGAAGACAGAGAAACTATGGTGATGGACTGGCCCACTTTAAGGTGCTGTTAACTGCTTAAAAGTTTTCAAAATTTAAGGTAATTGCATAATGGAAGATTACCTTTTATCCGCATTACAAAGACAATTCAGTTAATACATTTAAAAAGATGAGGTATCTTGCCAATGTATTAGGCTTGCTTAGATCTACCGCTCTTAAGTAGAGCTTCCTTGTGTTTTCAATGAGAGGAAAGAAAAGGAAAATTTTTTTCCTTCAAAGGAAGAACAAAGAAAACTCAAGAGCCTGCATAAAAAATGGCTCATAACAAAAATCTATTATGTATATCAAAGCTATTATAAAGACAATAAAAGCTAGAAGCATCAATTAGAAACAGCATGTGGTGTAATTACTGAATTAACAGAAATTCTATTTCTAGATAGCTGGAGCATCCAGTCTTTTCAAGGGTGCTATGAAAAAGTGGGAGGGTGCATATATAGAACAGATAACCACTCCGTATGCTTAAAAAAGTTTACAGGCTTTACTTTATGAACTTTCTCAAAGCTTTTCAAGTAGAAAGACCTGCATGGTGACCTTTGAGCTTTTGTTCAGATTTTTTTTTGGTGTTGCTTTATTTTGTTTTTTTATTGTCTGACAAAAAATCAACCTCTTCAAGTTCCCAAGACATGTGATCTAATATTTAACATTTGAACATACACAAAATCAAAGATAGACAAAATTTTGTACATTTTGCAAAAGCTATGAACATAAGAAAAGAAGGCTGCAATGTAAGTATGAATGTCACTCATCTACCTTTACTTAACACTTTAATCAGTATTTCTTCTCTCCAAACAATCATAATAACATCAAGCAACTTGTCAAAATAATAGTAAAAAGGATATCCTGTGTTGTTTCTGGTTTAATGCTGAATCCTTCATCATCTACATCAGGAATGTTCTAAAAAAAAATATCCAACAACAACCATTATTTACTATTGAGAAATAGCTAAAACCCGTGCTTTTAAATAATGCCATTTGCAAATTAAAATTTGATCATGACAGCTCATGAAAGTAGTATTTTTCACCATCAATTATTACAGTTATCTCAAGTTATGCTCTGTAGTTCAGAAGTAACATGACAAGATGCTTCAGGAACAGAACGCAACAAAACAAGCTCCAGATTTCCTTTGAAAACTGGCAAGTTTGAATGCTTTTGCTTTTACCGGTCCTCTACCAAAAAGATCAGAAACCAACAGAAACATTTTAGCTTTACTAGTTAGTGTTCAATAAGTCTACAGTCCTTTGGGCCCCAAGTATTTTCCCAATTTCTACTAATTCTCTTAGCTAAATTACTGAAGGCTCTGATGGTACAGCAGCAAAAACTTGCTAGTTGATATTCTAATACATGAGTAAAGCATTCCAGGTCGCATCAGTTACAGCTTCTTCTCTCCTGCAAAAAGGCAGCAAGCCTCACTGTTGCTTTATCAAAGAATATCCACAATAATTAAAAGACATGGATGAAACCTGCTACAAGTGCTCAAAATCAGGTTCCAGAGTTTTTCTTTTCACATCTCCGGCAACATTCTGGATTTCCAAAGTTAATAAGCATCTGGGAACTTCAGACTAGTTCAGATTTTCAGTTCTTGCAGGTAATGAAATATAAATTGAAGGCAATTATGTTAAAACAATTTTGAACACTTAGCTAACCACTTAGCTTCACAAAAAAGCGTTGGGGCAGAGAGAAACAAGTCTCTAATAATATAAACCTAATTTTAAAGACTTGCAAACCCCCACGTTCACGTATGTTACATATAAAGGGATACACCGAGATACACAGATACTTTCCCCATTCAGAACAGAAAAGCCCACTCATGGCTCCATATGCATAATTATTCTATGTGAACTGCTCAAATGCCTCAGTAAGTTTTTAATAAAAAAACGGCCACCCAAGTATCTTAAAAATGTAGTGTTTTTACCAGTTATGAATTACTTATAAAAATTGTAAGATTAATATAAAATAGCAATTTTGTCTGGCATACCATTCAGTTTATTTTATCAGAAAATAGGCTCTGGGAGGTAGTTTGACTAATAGAGATATATAATTAATAGCCAAAATATACCTTGCTGTTATAAGTCATGAGATATAACAAAATGACTTACACTGGAGACTTCAAGTGGACTAGCAAGCAACCACTTGACTTCACCTAAAATTTGAAGCCAAATTTAAAGAGATATTCACTTTGATTAGCTTTTGAATTACAGAGGAAGATACACATAAAAATATAATTGTCCCACTATTTTTTATACAGATATCACAAATGGGATGTTTGATATTTTACTAAGACCATCCTCTGTACAGATCTCTAATATCAGAAATTTAATTTCGAATTAAGTGCAATGGATTTAAACACAGATAATGCTTTCTGCTAAAAAGAACAAGAAATACTGTCTTGTATAGGAGATGTAATACTGTATCCAATTAAATAGCACATAAAACTAAGGCCAAAAAAAATCTTTAAGCTCAAACCTTAAAATAGATATAGATGCAATTTCTTGAAACACTTGTAAGATGTAGATTTCATAGCTACTTGATGGTTAAAAAAACCAAACCAAACCAAACCAACCAACCAAACAAACATAAACAGAAAAGGAAAAGAACTGAACAAAAAAAAAGTAATAAGAGTAGGATCACACGGTCCAGTACCTTAGCTCTACTTGCTCAAATCAGAGTTCTTAGCTACGCTTGACCTCAGACTGACCTTGTTTATATACCAAAAAACACTAATGAAACTTGACATCAAAGTAAACAGAACAAAAACATATAGCTAGAGGGCAGGTACATTTTCCTACAATAGTACAACTTTTGAATTCTGAAATTATTTTAGTTGTCATACTATGCAATTTTCAATAGATCAGGATCAGGCATGTTTGAGATTAATTGAAAACCAACCAAAACCTTTAAATAGACAATATTTAATTTTTATTCCAGCTGGGCCACATATGTAAAAGATATTATTGTTGGGCACACACAGGATGCAAAATACAGCTGGAAAATCTGCCTATTTTGATAAAAAATTATGAAAGAACTTTGCAAAAGTTAGTTCAATTGCATTATTTTTTAACTTACTGAATAAATTTTAGGATAAAGTAAATCCTTAGAAATACTGAAGTTCTTAACTTATTAAATATTTCTTAATATTTTCATGTTAATTATTTCTGATCTTGCAAAACTATTTGAATAACCTATTACTTAGCAATGGCACTTTACCATGTAGCCTGTATTCATAACTTCAGACAAAAAAAATCAAAGTTAATATTCACATAACTGAGATGGACACTTTCCAGCTTCAGTTCTGAACTGAAACATTTCTTTTTTCTTTTTTAGCAGTCATACATTACTGCTTCTCTGTAGCACTGTGCAGAAAACTTAATTTGTACTTCTACATTTTTCCTATTTCTTAAATTTAAATATATGTAATTTAAGACATCTGACTCTACACAATGTGTACAAGGTTAGAAATAATCCACTTAATATTTCTAGCTTTGTCAATGATTCAGATTAATCTTGTATCAATTTGTGATAATTCTTAAAATACTTTTTGCTTTCATTAATGAGATGTTTAATTTATATTTTTGTGTAAACCAACAAAAGTAAAGTCAAAGATATAATCACTGCTCCATTGTATTGACAAATTGTGTCACATACAAGCAAAATAGTACCACAAAATCTTATTTACAAGTTAAATAATTATTGTTTTCAGTATTTTCAATGGTTGAACAGGTGAATGGTTCTGGTTTCTGAAATATCAGAATTTTATTTACTAGTTTTGCAAGACTGGAATAGGACACAACATTTGGAATGAGGTACATATTCACAAATCTGATGTTAATAAAGGCATTTATATTTACTTGACTAATTTGTACTCCTTTTTTCACACTCCTGCAGTTAGAGATCTATATCTTATGTTGTAGGTAACAGTGCATCTTTAAAGTATCAGCATACAATATAGACAGGACTTAGTTTGCCTACCATGGTGATCAGAGATAAAAACTACAATATTAATGTATACATGTGTCACTTCGGACTTTAAACACAGAGACGGATGATCTTTGCAAATTGAGGGTTTCTGTAAGAAGATGTTATAAATACAACAGGGATGAAGGTCACAAACACATTATTTGTAGGTTTTGTGGTAAAAAAAACCTCAATATGGATGTGAATTGAACTCTGGAACTAAATGGAAAGGCAGACTTCCTTAGAAGAAGGTTTCACCTTCTCAGAGGTAATCAAGCAATTAAATGTATAGCTATAAAGACCACAGAGATGAGATTTTTCTGCGTTTGCAGATGCAATACAACATATTACTAATTAAGGGATTATATGTATTTAAATATACATGAAAAAATAGGACTTACAACTTGGCCTTTGCATTAGTCTCTTCTACTAACCTTCTGGGGTGAATAATTTTTTTACAGAAATAAAGCATAAGGACATAACAAATAAAATAAAACTGCCTATACAAAAAGCATAAGGACTAAACATTCCATTGCCAAAACTTATTTTTTGAGTTTTAGTGAATACTAAAACTCTCAGTTTCCTTGTTCTGTCCTACCTGTCATCCAAAAGCAATGGAAAGAAGCCACACCATTACCGTGTCACTAGTTCCTCTGGGCCACATACAAAGGATAAGAAAGGAACACATGGAACATATTGCAATCTAGCTACTTCATTTGGCCCTTCCTCAGCAACATAAGCGCTATTACAGTGAGCAAGAAGGAAAGAACCTTCTGTACATTTCAGCTTGATTTCCATCTGTTCACTCTTCCCCTCGTATACCTACAGTAGTTATGAGAGCTCCTTACAAAGCTTTTGTCAGCATATACTTCCAGATATAGTGCAGCTGAATGGCTCACTGTTTCTTTTTCTGCCTGAGGAACTTTATACCATTTTACTGAACGGGACTGACATCCTGTAATCTAGATGAGAACTGAAAGAACTCAGAGTAAGCAGGTGAAGCTCATAATAGCCTGGGACAAAAGAGAAAAAGAGTCTCACCACTTTTCACATACTTGAGATGTAAATTTGATTCAGGTGTATCCTTAGGTTAAGGCTAATTTATTACATACAGCAGCTTCCTCTCCTTACTGTGCCTATTAACTCAAAATATATGGATCAAGATAGTAGCCAGTCAGTTTCTTCCACTGCCACAGATGCAGAAAGAAAGAAAAACGGGTATTTGAAGTGCTCCTGTCTTGTTCTGTGACTGCTAAGCCTTGTGCCCTGCATCAATGGCACATATTGAAAATATGCCAGAACTAAACATTTCAAAAATACAAATAAAAATATTTGAATTTAACTAAATATAAGGTAATGCTTGTGTGCCAGTGAAGTCTGATCGTTGCAAATTCACTCACTCTCCAGCAATAAAAATTATGTATAATACTATACCACCGCAATTATGCTACACTCATATGTAAGAGGTTAAAAGTTTTTGATGCTTCAATACATTTGTTTGCCTTCTGGTTTCCTGTGAATAGAAGTTTCAGCATTATGTTCTGTGCATCTGTGGTTCTTCATTACTTTCGAAATTACTCGACAATTTCAAATGGATTTGACAGACAGAACAGAGGGCTCAAAGATAATTACATTACTACAGTCTTCATGAAAATAGGCAGTCAAGTAGAAGAAAGAGATCTGCAAGTATCCCAGTGAAGGGAAGAGCTGCAATTCTAATTCAGATTCTACTGGACACAAGTTGAACCTTGCAAGAGCTTCCCCAAAATAAAGATTTCTACTAGAGCTTTTATCTTCCTACAAACCATCCCTTGAGGCATGGCAAACCCATGGGAAACAATACAATTAGTTCTGCCTTCAGAAAAACTTCATAGGCAACAAACACATACGGAGCTGGATTTCAGTTATTATCCCTTTCTAGAGTACACTCAGTTAACTCTCTATTTTTCTTAATTACCAAGGCTTAGCTTAATGGAAGCTACATGTGTGGATTGACACATAACACAGAAATTTATAATCTCACAACATAATCTCATACATACTGTAATCTGTATTTAAGCAGAGACTGCTTATTTAAGTGGTCAGTCTTTTAAAAAAATAACAGCTCTCAGCTCACAGATGCCTTCCTACTCATGAGCACACAAAAACCTCATCTGATAGGAATTCTGATAGGAATTAACAATTCATTCAAATGCATCACATTTCCCTGTATATATAATCTGACAGCTACAAAAAGAATGAGCGTGAGTGGATGGCTTGCCACAGATAAATTTAAGAACTTCAATTTTGGTACAAAAACCATATTTAGGACCATCTGACTTTTTTGTTATCTGGAAATAGAGAATACAAGTTTGAACTCACTGTATGATAAACTTTGCACCAGTGAGAAGGCCCTAATTGTGCTGACTACACAATGTGTATTAAAAGATTCAAAATATCATGTAGAACTGGTAGACAAAGTTTTGAAGTCAGTTCTTCCCAGATCCTTAACTTTTAAAATCTCAATATATATAACTCAACATTTACAGTTATAAATAATTCTAGAGTTGTTATCTCTTATATTTCTTTCACACAACTAAAATTCTTGACAAATAAACAAAAGCCACCTTTAAAAAAAAGCTCATCTTAATAATATAAAAGCCAGACAAGATTTTGTTTGAGTGACCAAAGCAATAATTGATACACCGTAACCTTAAATAAGCTAAATTTTCTCAGGGCTGGTCTTCTGTATTTTCTAGCAATCAAACACAAATGATACTTGATTTCAATTTATTATTTTTTTTCAATAATACATTTCCAAGATCATTTTCTTGAAATGTGTTATTTATTGCAAAGTTCCATACAAAACAAATCCCCACAGAGATAACACTATAACTATTTAGATCAAGCTTGAAAAATTAATCAGAGATGAAATTTTAAAGTAAAATGCAAGTAAAATTAAAAACATTTGAAATGGGACCTTCCTGAAGAGGACACCAACCTTAAAATGTAAAAGCACTCTGGAGTGCTTGTTTGTAAAGGGTGAAATTAATCTTATCTACAGTAAGCTGCACCATTTTTTATGACAATGACAGTAATAGCTTCTGCCATTGAAGCATTCTACCATTCAGAATAATAGTGTTGCTTGTAAAAAGCAAAAAGAAATGACAGATCAGATTTTAAATTCCCAATGCAGTCATAAAATTTAAATGGGGCATTTAAAAAAAAAAAAAAAAAAGATAATTCAACAATAGTATCAGTTTTGTTGTTAGACACTTTGAAAGTTAGAGGTCTTTTTTTTAACCAAGTATAAATTATATGTAGAAAGAACAATTATCTTAGATGATCATATGGCATGCTTCATGCAGCCATAGAGAATGTCTGGCAATTTACAGTTCAGTTTTTTAAACTATTTTAAAAAATGATAAGAGAACAAAATAAGTAATTAAGAGAATAAACACTGCAAGTCAAACCCAGTTGTGGTTTACTCCAGTGACTCAACCTAAATTGTCAAAAGGTATTTTTTCTATCAAAAGCCTGATTATAGGGATAATTCTAAAGTTACTTCAATTGTGCCCAAGAAAACAAATTTGCTCTAAATTAAGACGACTTTGCGCAAGATAAAATAACTGTCTCAATGCTTACAAGGCTGTTCTTACACATCCAGTTTTATTATGTGGCAAAACTTAGTTTTCCTTATTTAGAAGAATGGTTCTAACACATTTTTAAACCAAGTTTTTCAAAGGCAGATTTAATACTAGGTACTACAACTCCTAATTATTAAATGCAAAGAAGAAAATCCACAAAATAGGCGACCTTGGAAACATAAATTGTTTAATATAATTGGCATCTAAATAAATTAACTGAAAAACAAATAAGTCTACAGGAAATCACTTACATTATTTTATAAATTAATCCCTATTAAGCTACAGGGAGCTGCAATCTCTGTTACATATAATTGAAGACAACATACATGTTGAAATGAAGTGAAAAGGCTCAATTAAGGAAATTAAAAAAAACCACAAACCAAAACATACTGGTTTAATTTGCACTGTCACTTAATTAAACTGAATAAATAAAATTGTAAGATGTATCACAGATCAAACTGACAGCAAGGAGAAATGGACCATTATTATAGTGTGTATAGAGATACTGCGTTTACAGCAATATCTTAAGAAGTATATCCCTACAGTCTATTGCCACTGACAAAACAGAACCCCACTATCATAAGGATTTCTCAAAGGACACAGTAGTAAGCAGATGAATATGATGCTGCAAAGGTCAGTCCACAATAAACGTAATCTTTTTCTTACGTAAAATTTATTAGACAAGCAATTTAAACTATTAACTTGAAAGGTAAAGAAGCAAATACTTGCAGCAAACCCACCTTGTTTAAAATGTAAAACTGTTAGGAAATATACATGTATTATTGGCATGTATTTGCATATACTGCTAAAAAATATGTACTGAGCAAAATTCACACTTCAATTATGTTATCAAAATATTAAATCCTGCATCAGATAAATAATGCATTGCAGGGACTCTATGTGGATTTCATTACAATATTAGCATACACATTTAGTTTGGAAATAAGTCTACTTACAACTGAGTCTGCATCTGGACATTCCCTATTAGAAAAAAATCAAGAAAATATATAATTATAACATGCACAAATTATTTTATTTGTACAGGTCTGGTACATCTTTTAATATTTTCAAGTGATTTGAAACATTGCATTTGACTTTTTACCTCTCACACGCTGTTAAAATTTTCTCTGTAAACAACCCATATTAAACTAAACAAGATATAAACAAAAGCTGGAAGTTTACGCTTGAAACACCACAAAAGAAAAACTCAGAAGAAATGCAGAAAAAGCCAACCTTCATCATAGTGAGAGGGGGGAAAAACCAGTCAGGAATACCATGCTATATTCTGGATAAATAAACATTAAGAGTGATTGATTATGCAAAATAAGTAGAAGTCACCAGCCCTAATGAAACAGTCCATATGCAACTGGCAAAACATTTTGGACAATGACCAATTCCTAAAGAAATTAAGACTATCCTTAGATGAATTCAGAGCTTCCCTCTTCTGGAATTTCACTCTTTGTGTTTCTCAAGTACAGTTACAGTCAAGCACTAGAAAATATTGGAAAAAAAAATAAGAGTACCCTCCTAACAAGCACTTTTTTGAAGCAAAAAACCAAAACAAAACAAGAAAAAACCCCTCATCATCAGCAAGGCAGTGATTGCAAGCACATTCTTCACAATTGTTATATTTTTCCATGATAACCTTGATTTAAGTGGCAGTATTCAAATACATGCATGATACTGACTCTCTCTGATGTCTGAAAAGAGCAGAAGCAATTAACATTTACAGAATGTGGGAATGCTTGAGTAGTATAAAAGTCCTCTCTAATTCACATCCTGACAAATAAAATGTTAAGTGCCAGTACAACTGAACGACAGTGTTTTTATATAATAAAAATGTACATCCTAAACATGGACTTATAGAAAAAGAGAGGGAAAACAAAAATAAAATTTATTGCAATCTAAATCTTCTCTGAAGGGTTAAGCAAGTTAAATATAAAAACTATGGTGTCTTTAAAAAACAGGTACAAAACTTGCTAACTTGGAAGCATTAATATGAAATTCAGCACAGCTTGTTAAGGAACTGACAGTGAGATTATAGATCCAGTCTCCTCTGAAAGGCCTCACACAAAATAAAACATACGTGACCAAGTTTCCATTTGACTTACATCTTACCTCCCTCTGCTGGCTGAACTGAATTAATAGCAATAGAAAGGGTTTTTTTAAAAGCTATTTTACAGTGAAAAGAGACAAAGTATTAGACTTCTCTCAAAAGATACAACAAATAGACTTTCTGATGTGTTTTTAAAAAGTGCCTGTACTCAAACAAGACAGCTTAAAGCCCACAACAATTAAGAAATGTGAAAGATGTGAAAGATGTGAGGCAAGCTACAATGAAAGTAATTCAAGAATCTCTGTAAAAGCCTATGGCATGTGTTACATAGGAGGCTAAAATCATGCCATCATACCTCCTTCTGATCTCAGAATCTATATTTTTGTATTGCTTGCAAATAAAGAAATTAACTAAATAATACAAATCCAATTTCAGTCCAACTTGTTGGAAGCAAGGCAAATTATTTTCCCATCTCAGAATACCTGAGCTGATTTAATGAAATTTTTAATTATTGTTTAAATTATTTTATTTTTTCTAGGAAGATACACTGTTATTATTATTCAACATTAAATAAAACATCTTTGGGAAAAAGCAGCTTTTAGAAAAGTATTCAGATACTACAGTGGATAAACATACAAAGGTAGAAAGTCTTTCATATAGTACAGAAGCCAATTTTCAGCCCTCAATGCCTAAGAAAATTTTATTTCAGTAACAGGTCAAAAGAATACATTGAGTCATATACCTGGAAAGAGTTAATTTGGAGCTTCCAGGCCTTTACTAGCTCCAGAAAACGACTATTAAGAGCCCTAAATCTTTGCTGGGGCCAGATTACATTTAATCATCTGCCAAAGAATGGATGGAAGGACATGTTTGCCTTGCAACAAACCTTATAATATACATGAGATTAGTCTAATTATAAATCATGTGGTGGCAAAATAACTTATTTTGTTGGAAAAGAAAAACTGACAGCTACAGAATTCAATCGTACAACAGCATTCAATAGTATAAAAATCACTACTTTGCAGTTAAGAAAATGCAAGACAAAAAGTAAATGATTGCACATAGTTTTTTCTACTGTTGGATATACTTTTTGCATCATAAAAAAAAAAAAAGTGTAGTAAATAATTTTAAGGGGAGGATATTTAATCAGTTGCTTCTACTGAGAAAACACATCTAGAAATCAGGAAAAAATACAATGGAATTTAGAGATTGTAACTACCAATGGGTAGACGGCAACCAATCCATATAAGAACTTTTACTCAAACTCACTCCTGGAAGACAAAGCACATGCAACGAATATGGCAAAAGATACATAGCTGCGACATCAGTCACGAATTAGAATGGTGGTCTTTCAGAAATGAGCATGCACACAATATGCTGACAAAATTTGATACTGTACACAAACATTTTTCTAATTACAGCAAAACTAAAGATTCAATCCTGCAAACACAGTCATCCAGTACTTTTTCCATGTACAGAGCTATTATTTCATTAGGAATACATGGGAGAATCACATTATCTACAATGTTCAAATGTAGAACAAGGGAGAACTACCCTATGCATGGGAAATAATGAAAAATGAGCAGACCACTATGAATACATTTCTGTTACTTCCTTAAAATCCTTAGTAACAAAAATCTTAAACAGCTGTGTTATTTTCATATTCACAGCATACGTCTAAACTTCTTTTTATAAACCTATTTTTCATTAATATCAGGTGATATTTATTCCCATAATTTACTAGTTTTTGTACAAGACAATGCTTCAGGATGGTTATATACTTACACAGATTCAGTATCTTTTTCTTTTTTCATTCTTCCTGATAAACCAAAAGGCTTTCTCTTCCGTGGTTTTATCCCTAAAGAACAGTTTTCATTTAAAGATCAAATAGATAAGCATGTATTTAGTACTTTCAAACATAAGCGCATACCAATGCCAACATATTTTAAATGCTGCCACAAGTGATACAAAAATCTAACAGTGGGGATAGGTATGAAGCCAAATTAAGGGAACATCATTTCAATTTGTTGTTAATTTATATATATATATGGTTCAACACATTAATAACATAAGCCCTTATAAAACTGGTTTGCATTGTACATCCAACTCTCCATTTGGGTATGCAGATTTTGGAAAATTAGTGTACTGCCAGTTTTGAGGAAAGGGACTGCTCATAGAAACTCAACAGGAGGTACCTCTCCAGTTGAACAGCCAGTGCCCTTGGATCAGAACTGAACCCTGCCTCTCCCAGCTATTGCACCTCAACATCCTGTTGTTATTTCCCTGCATGTTCCTGGTAGCTGCAAGCCCCAGTCTCTCCTAAGTAGTAGGATCTTGGCCCTGTAAAAAAAGAATGCTTCTTGCTTTCCAGCTGATGTTGAGCTCATGATTTCCCAATGCTGTAAGGCTGCCTCTAACCAAGTCTGGAATCATGCCTCCCCTCTTGTCTCTTCCCCATTTTTAGCACTGGATAGATAATAGCTATAGTAAAGGAAAAAAGTTTGTTTCATAGCAAAATTTAGTGTACTAAAATTAAAATATATTTAAATATTCTAGCAGACTTTCTGTCATGTCTGCTTCTCTCCCTAGTTTTTGCTGAAGCAAAGTAGACTGACAAACAAAATTACTATGTCCAAGCATCTGATCAAGTGAGTCTACAGTTTTGTTTCAAAGTATGATACCACTGAGAGCATGTTTTTGAGTAAAATGGTGGAAATAATTTGGTTTCTAAACTTTAACAACTGACAATTCAAGCACATAACTAAAAAAAAAAGCATTATATTCCCCTTTACAGAAATACATTACACAGCAGCAAGGAACCTCTCCACTCTTAGTAATTGTGAGCTTTAAATAATGGAAAAATTCTCAGATCAAGTAGCTGTGAAATCAGCCATAGCTCCTACTTTAATAGAGACAGAATTTGCTCCAAAATTATTGTTAAGTGCTAGTCTGGGCTTTACTTCTTTTATGTGCCTTATGCAGCCCAAAATAATGACAAATAGTGAATGCTAGTAATTCCTGGACATAGATCCTTCTCTGCTTCAGCGAAACAGATCTCAAGCCTTAGCTGCCATCTTGGCAACATAAAAGTTGTCAGCTGCTATAGCTATACTGTCAACTCCTCTGTCATAAAAGCAAATATATAGCTTATGCAAATAAAGCAGTTCTCAAACCAATCCCATTAGCAAAATCAGCTAGGACAACAAAGAAAAGGTTTTGTGACCATTATACTGCATTAGACTTAGTATAACTAATGTTTTGACACTTGTAAATTAAGTTACAGCAGTCATAAGTAAACAAAATCCAAACCTCTTCAAAGACACAGTTTCAGCCAAAGTATATTTATAAAAAACATTAAAATTCTCTGACCTGTGTGCATTGGATTAATAAAATATCATAGATCCTATTTTCATTGAAGTTTGTTTCTCAAAAGGAAAACTGCTTTATAGTCTACTGCACAACTTTAAAGCTATACAGATTCACAGCATTCTTACATAACCATCTTACAGCAACTCACCTTCTACTGCATTGGATGTGTTACATTCTTCAAAATCAATAGGGCCTTGAAGAAATGAAAATTAAAAGAAATATTAGGTCAAATTTAATTAAAGATCTTTTAATGAGTATTAGCATTTCCTGGAAATACAAGATAACCTAATTATAAATTTACCTGGTAACTGAAAAACACAATTACCTTGACAATGCTCACACAGACTGCAAAATCATACATGTACAGCAAATCATTAAATATTTTCACACATACTGAAAAATTAAAATACCAGTGCACAATGTCTAAATATACTTCGTTTGCCTATGTTATTACAACCACATGAAACATCTCTAATTTGCATCCTCATTCAAATTTGCATCTATAATTTGCATCAGTGAAGTTTTCAACTCATTGTCTTTTAATAAACAAGGGCTATGTATAAAAAATAAAGTAAAAAAAAGCACAGCTATAGCCCTGATTTTGAGACTCACACTTGCTAACTCTGCATTGTTAGTTTTTCTGTTTCCTGTTTTCCAATAGCCAGTTGCTTAGAGAGTGAAAAGTGCCATGCAGAATCTTAAAAATAGCAGTAAAGAGTAGCAATAAAGAAGATAAAAAATTGTAACCAAAATTTAAGACTACACCTGGGGTGGGGGAGGAGAGCGGGAGTAGAGAACACTATAACACTATTAAAGTGATGTATCTAGATAAATACATTATGGCTTCCTCTTTTTTTTTGTAGGACTTGTTTGGGGAATGCAGGAACACACCAGCACTTCAAGCTCCACATGATAGCACTGCGACATGGGGCTTATTACTTATCTTTTTGTGATCATTTTGAGGGGTTCCACACAATATTATACATAAGCACATTATATTATACATAGGCACATATATATTACATATATATTATATATAGGCACATAACAGAGGGGGAAAAGAACTCCACGCACTCCCAAATCGATACCTGAAGTCAGCCAAAATCCCCCCTCTCCCCACACTTATGCAACTACATCAAGTGAGAGTTTTAAGGTTTGAAAATTTCCATTAAAACTAACTGCAAATTAGGATTATTTGTGAGCACCCACCTTAAAATCAAGAGCTGTGCAATTTTCAGGGTGTTTTAATGTATAACAAAAGGTGTAGTTGAAAGCATTTTCCAGGATTATAACTTGTACTCTTTTCGAAACTATTACATGATATTCTTAACTCTTAAAATCAATAGCTGATATAAACTGATCTCAAGGACAAGAAATTACAATTGAGATCACAAGGTTCAGTTTGACTTTAAATAGTACATCATAGCAAATGATCGTGCTGCAATTGGAGAGGCCACAATGAAGGCAGAACACAATTTTGCTGTGAATTAGCATTTAAATTACACAACTGGGATTAATTTGTATTTGCTTCATGCAGCTGAGTACCTCAAATGGTTCTATTTGTAATGAAACCACCAGTATGTATATTTAACTCTTGCAGTGCAAAATTGTGTTTAACTCAACATAAATGCTACATTTTGATAACATTTCTCTAAACTGCAAATGAAAAAGTATGCTTATGCTAAACAAACAAAAAAACAAATGAGAAACTGATGATGTAACTTAATACTCACCAATGTTAAGTAAATTTAATTATTTTAGACAGATCAGATAAAAATCTACTAGATATTTTCTTTGAAAGGTTGCAGACTTCTAATTATAAAAAAAAAAAAAAGGTAATTACTTGTATTTATCGCAGTCTGAAAAATCAGTACCCCAGTTATCATAATGTAATTGCTTGGTCTGCAAATGAAGCTCTTGAGAGCAGAATACCAAAAGAACAATCTCAAATGGTCAATCTTAACTGCCCCTCAAAAACTAACAAAAAAACCCCAGAAAATTAAATTTGGAGAACTGTAGATGCCTACATAGAATTAAAGAACCATAGAAATGTTAAGGTTGGGAGGGACCTTAAAGATCATCAAGTTCCAACCCTCCTGCTATGAGCAGAGAACCCTACCGCTAGATCAGGTTGCACAAAACCTCATCCAACCTGGCCTTAAAAACCTTCAGGGATGGGGCATCAACAACCTTCCTGGGCAACCCATTCCAGTTCCTCACCACCCTTACAGTGAAGAATTTCTTCCTAATCTAACCTAAATCTCCCCTCTCTCAGTTTAAAACCATTACTCCTTGTCCTATCACTATCTTCTCTGATGAAAAGCCCCTCCCCAGCTTTCCTGTAGGCCCCCTTCAGGTACTGGAAGGTGCAATAAGGTCTCCTTGGAGCCTTCTCTTCTCCAGGCTGAACAGCCCCAACTCTCTCAGCCTATCTTCACAGCAGAGGTGCTCCAGGCCTTTGATCATCTTGGTGGCCCTTCTCTGGACCCTCTCCAACAGGTCTGTATCTTTCTTGTGCTGAGGGCACCAGAACATTCCTACACTGATTCCACCAACATTTTATTTTAGGAATTTAAACTCCTCTGTTCAAAATACACTGAGCAAGAAATATATTATAAAAAATACCACAAACCATAGAAGCTGAAGAACAAATCCATTACTTTTCAACACTACTTCAGACAATACATATTTCATCACTTTGCTAAGGACTCAACTACTTCTGTTGCTTTCTTCCATACACATTCCCATTTGGCCAGGAAAAAAAACCCCAAAAAACAACAACAAAAAAACAACAACAAAAGAAATGCCAAACCAGCCACAAACACTCATCCTCAAAACAAAAACAGAAGGAAAAACTGTACGCAACAGAGACTTGAACATATTTTTAGAGAAAAACAATACTCAAGCTTTTCCAGAATACATCTTCTTCTTTACTCTTTCCAGCTACTAAGGCTGATCTCCTCAGGCTTTTAAGACTAATGACTGAAGTAAAGATTCAAGGATCAAGTAACACTAATGTTTATCTTAGATCAGTATCTTTCACTTTTAACACAAGCAGAAAACAAAGGTTTTCTTTAACAACAGAACCAAGTTCCTTTATTTTGTCCATCACACTTGCCTAATATTTGTCTTGGGAATTGGGTTTCTTACAGCTTGATAAAAACTTCTTATTTGAAGAGAAAAACATTCATGCTTAGTACAGGAACACACATAAAAAACAGATTAGCACTTTCAATTAGATTTAACAAAAGCCAGCTCACCCCTAACAATTCACTCTCACAACAATGTATTCTTTTCTCATAGAGAAGACTGTAAGATGCAATCTCAAAAAAAAATCAGTTACTGAAGAACTGCAGGAGAAAGCAATGAGATACAAGCTACATGAAATATTTCAGTAAGCAGGTCCCACTTTTGACTAAGGCATATAAAATTAACTTGGAAATTTTAAATATACTTTCCTCTTAATGATACTTATTACCTTGGTTTATGCTTCACCAAAATGAGCAGTTATCCTAGGAGTTTCTTGTCCCTCTACATGCTCTCTTTGCTTCCCCATAATCTACCAGCTGCTTTACTGCAGCAAAGATAAATATCAATCATGAAAATACCATTAGCTTACAACAAATTGTGTCAATCAGTTACAATTCAAAAGGACCTTTTGATCCTAACTTACTCTTCCTGCTTGACTCAAATCTCTATAGTGTCCCTCACCCTTTGGAATCAGGGAAGCTCAAGATGCCAGTGGCTGGTGCCTAATGAATCCATAAACAATAAAAAATTAAGTTCAGCATTTTCCAACAATACCAATGCCCAAAAATGTTTGCTGTTTTTTGTAACATTTGTATTTAACCCACCTCCATCAAATATAACACACACATGTTGAATTATTTGCTTGGAGCAAAGGCAACATCAGACATTTTCCACTTTTGAGTAAAGTGGAGTGAAATTTGTAGCCATCTTTGATTTTCTTAGAGCTTTGTTCTGTAACTTTAGCTCTCCCAACAGTTCTGCCTCCTATATGCCTGCTGTAAAAAGTAACATGTTTTGCCTGGAGAATAGTATTTTTAAACCAAAATAATGTTACAGAAAGAGACATTTTCTGTGGCACTTTATGGTGAACCAAGTCAGAAAGACAGCTGTGATGAGCTTTTGGTAGCCCACATAAGAGCTGGAGTATCCTGTGGGCAGATGTCTTTGTGCCCAAAGGGGTAATAATGCTGTTGCCCAGCCAGAAGTGTGTACTGTAACCACATCGTCTCCTTCTAGAACCAGCTGCAGTCTCCTGTCCAGCCAAAAGGCCTTAGGCACACACACGTTAAGAAGTTCCCCTGCACTGTCCTCTGTACTTCTGTATATGGAAAAGCGTCTGCACTATCACTGCAAAAAAACCTCAAAAATCTTTCTTCTCTGAATCACTGTAACATTTTTCTGATTCCTTAATCATTGAATGGTATAGTCAAAAACTCCCACTGCATTGGTGTTAATGGAGATTGCCAGACAGGTATAATACACAGATGCAAGTAAGAGCATGCAAACTCATGTGCTGGTACCACAACAGCTTTAATAACAGCTGCACAAAGATTTTAAGGGGGATGCACTAGCACTACCTTTTTTCTTTGAGGCAGAAAGGTTTTCTTATCAGACTTTTGCAAAATTATTGAAGTACAGACAAAAGCTTAACAGCAACAAGAATTTCAGCTCAAAATTCACTATCCATTACAACATCCAAAGAAAGAAAAGCAGCTGTTTCAGATTTAAGGGGTATTGCTTATTTCGGGGACTGAAGTAATCCCCTGAAGCACTCTTGAGGCTCCCTGCCACATGGTATCTCAAAGCCCCAAAAAGGACAATCTAGATGTTGCCATACCACAATAATAACGATTATAATAATGATGATAATAATTATGATAAAAAGGACATTCTGCAATACTACACATAGCATTGAGATGTCCTTTGCTCTTTTTCTCATAATAACAAAACATTGCAAATTCAGAAGGAAGTATTCTCAAGTTTTCACATGAACACAAATAAAAGTGAACACTAGAACTACAGCAGCACTGTAAAAATAACAATTAAAAAAAACCCCAAACATTTTAAAGACTCTCATTAGACTAAGAAAAAAGTTATAGCTGAGATCCAGTCCAACCCTTGCAAAAGTCTGAATTAATGTTGCTGGGTTAAGAATGTAGAGCT